AGCGAGGGCCGCTCTTCACCCACTTCTGAAACGCACCAGCAAACTTTCCATCAAAAACAAACTCCTAATTTACAAACAAATTATTCGACCCCAAATTCTCTACGGCTCCTCAGCTTTCATTTTGACCTGCAAAAGTACACTTAAAAGACTACAAACCCTTCAAACCACAATCCTACGATCTATCTGTCACGCTCCTTGGTACGTACGTAACAAAGACATTTACAACGACCTAAAAACGGACACTATCCCTGAATTCCTCACCAAAAAACAGGCCAAATTCAAAGCCAAAGTCCTTAACCACCCAAACCCAGTAGTCCAAAACACCTTTAAAAATCCCCTTCCTAGCAATAACCAGCTCCCCAAAACCCCCCACACAAACCCCCCCGCTCTTCCCCCTTTCCCCCTAATCCCAACCAGAGGTGCCAAGGGCAACAAACCACTGGTCACTTCTACTAATCACACAGATCAACTCTTCTAAATTTAAAACTTAAAAGTCCCGAAAAGGGCAGTCATAAAAGAGCAAAAGTTCCAACGAACTAGCTCAAGTTAAATTTCCACAACGCTAAGGCGGGAACTCCCTCAACACCCCTAAAGGAGGATAGGAACCTGCTACCCAACTCCTCTGACGGCAAGGCCTTTCAAAGCCCAAATCGCCGACGGAAGAGAAGGAGAGTCAGGCGTCTGTCCTCCAGTGAGGGAATCATTAATGGTAAAGCTATTCATTTGCCCACCAGACAGCAGGACCCCCGCAGCCACCAGCAGATGCAGACCACCCCTGGAGCCCAGCAGACGCAGACCACCCCTGCAGCCCAGTAGACGAAGACCACCCCTGTAGCCCACCAGTCGCAGGCCACCCCTGCAGCCCAGCAGAGGAGGGATAAGATCCCTCCCATCGTTTTGCGAGAAAAAGGAAAGTACGATGAAATTACAAAGAGGCTGATGGAAAAGAAGATAAATTAGGGCTGTGGCGTGACTACAAAAGATGGAGTGAGAACGCACCCTCCTACCAGCGAAGACTATAGGGCAATGATAAGGGTACTTGACAACAACAAGTACCAATATCATACATACCAGCTGGAGGAAGAAAAGCAGCTCAGAGTGGTAATCAGAGGAGTGCTGGAATCGTGGACTGAGGCCAAAATTAGGGCGGAATTAACCGAGCTAGGTTTCTACCCTACCACGATTGCGAGATGGAGGAAAAATTGACAGCCCATAGCAGTGGTCCTGGTGCTGCTGCCCAAGACTGAAAAGTCAATTTTTGAGGTGAGGGCAATCGGAAACCTGCGAGTGAGAGTGGAGTGCAGCATGCGAAGAGCCAGACGACCCAGTGCTATAGGTGCCAGCATTTTGGACATGGGCAGTCCAAATCCACAGCTGCTGCCAAATGTGTGAAATGTGGGGCAGCGCATGAATCCCGGGAATGCCAGATTCCTCGGGAAAAGGCAGCAAGATGTGCCAACTGTGGAGGAGCTCACCCAGCCTCCTACTCAGGCTGCCCATCAAAGCCCACTCCAAAGTTGCAGACCATGAGG